CCACTGCTTTGCCAGGTGGAACTGTCCCAGGTGCCTTTGTTTCTAGAAGGCCTGTGTAGGGCCAAAAAGGAAGCAGGGTGTTTCTGTCTGCATTAGGCTTACCAAATGAACCAGCACCCCCTCCTGCAGAAGTATCCTTAATGGTGCAGTCATTTCATGGTCTGGCTTTACTTGTGCCTCCTGGAAAGAGAGGTTTGTGGGACGGTTTCATCTGAATGCAGTAATACCTTGAAGAGGTCTGGCAGTGTCCCAGGTGAGAGCCAGTGTTCTAAAGGGTTTCTTTGGAATTCCAAGAGCTATCTAGCACCTTGATTCTAAAGCACCAGCACATGGCTTCATTAAGGACAATTTTGCATCAGTTCACTTGGCTGTATGTTGCCAGTTTTAATTCAGCCGTGTCTGCTTTCAGTAATTTAGAATTGGATTTAAATCAATTAGTATCCTGGGAAAACTGGTGCACAGATGCATCCATGCTCTCCCAAGTCCTTGGAGCTTGTTTCTTTCCACACATACCCAGGTTTGTTTTTAAATAAAAGCTATGGTGGTCAGAATTAAATTTCAATTTGAAAAAGACTCTGAACAGTGGATATTAGCTGTATCCATTTAGGCCCGAACTAAGATTGATCCTTATAATCCTTGCTAGCAAAATGCCCGACATGAACGACAGGTTTCAAAGAAGTGTTTACATGGCCAGCCCTGAAGGGTAGCCCTTCACCTGCCTATTCTGTTGCCCCTCACTGCCAAGCCACAGCCCCCCAGCCCTGCCAGCGCCCCTCACTCACCAAACTGCAGTACCATGCCCCCCTGGGCCCTGATGGTGTCCCTCACTCCCAAGCCGCAGCTCCCCCTCCTCCCCAGTCCTTGCTGGTGCCTCTCACTCCTGATCCACAGCCTCCTGGCACTATCACTGCCCCCCCAACTCCCAACCCACAGTCCCCAGCTCCCTCCCTGATGTTCCTCACTCCCCACCTGCAGCCCTTCTCTCTCCTTCCGCCCCCCCCCGCTGCTGGTGCCCTTCACTTCTGAGCCACAGCCCCCTGTTGCTGCCAGTGCTCCCTGCACGCCTAACGCACAGTCCCCCAACCCCCCGATGCCCCTCACTCATGACCCTCAGCTCCCCACCCCTTGTGCCTGCTGGTGCCTGTCACTCCTGACCCACAGCCCCCTGGCACTGCCAATGCCTCCCACACTCCCAACCCACAATTCCCAGCTCCCCCCACAATGCTCCTCACTCCCCACCTGCAGCCTCTCAACCCCTGTCCCTGCTGGTGCCCCTCACTCCTGACACACATCTCCCCGTGGTGCCAACCCACAGTCCTCCGCCACACCCCAGTGCCCCTCACTCCTGACCCACAGCCCCCTGTTCCACCCCCAGCCCTGCTGGAGGCCCCAGCTGTCCCCATCATGCCTGGGCAGAGCACTGTGGCTCCAATGCATGCAGGCGGCGGTGGAACGTGTCCGGGCCCAGCCCGGGCTAAGGGAAGAGGAGGGGGAGGGAGGCTTGTAGCAGCCCTTGCCCTGGGATGAAGCTGCTACCGCACCAGGCGGTAGCCTGGGTAGCCTGGCCATGGCCGCCGCCTTCCCCCCCCCCCAGCAGCATTTGGCTGCTTAGCCCCTCTGGGCATGGCCACCTGTGCTGCTGCCGGGCCACGGAGCTCCAGGCTGCCCTCAAAGCCCCCCTGTCCCTTTCCCCCACTGGTGAACAGACAACCCTCCTGCCTCCCCCCTGCCCTGTCGCAGCCGGAGCCTCCGCTCACCCCCCTCCCAGCCCTGCCTAAATGTCCAGGACTTTGCTGTGTTCTGGGGGTGAGAGAGGGGGAGGTGATTGGAGGCAGCAGGGAGCACCACATGGGTCTGCACCTCCAGAGCTGTAGGTGGGTCCATGTGTGCTCCCCGCTGCCTGCGATCGCCTTCCTCCTGCTCCCACCCCCAGAGCAAAGGGAAATCCCTGACAGCCCCCCTGGACTGCAATCAGAGGCTTCAAAAGAGCAGGACACATCTGTGGGAACCCTATCTCGGCGCGTGCACACTTGAGCAAAAGCGTTATGAACACACACACACACACAAACGGAAGTGCTATAAAACAAACAAGCAACTTCCCCCCCCCCCCCCCCCAAAAAAAAAACAACAAAAAATCCCAAACAAACAAACCCCAAAACCCCATGCTTTACTGGAAGAAGCAGTGCAGCATCTGTATAGGTAGGGCACTTCAACAGGGCTTTTTGGTGCTTTAGCTAAAGCTGATTCAATCAGCTATTAGATAAAAGCATCAAAATAGCCTCATAAAAGTGTTCAATCTATACAGATGCTGCAGAACGGGGTCCAACTGGGGTGCTGACTCTTGGGTATTCATGGGACTCGGTGTGGGAACGCATCAAGTTTAAAGTAAAGCACCACTTTTTGGGGGTGGGGTGGGTTGTTTTTGTTTTGTTTTTTAATGTCTGTAAGCAGCCATTGTGTGTCTGCTTGTCAGTGCTCTAACAGATTTTTAGTGTCATCTTGGTGTTGCTTAGAAAAGTAATCAAAGTCCTTAAGCTCTGGATTTGTGACTAAATAGAGAATTTACATTTTTCCTGAAATACTTGGTGCTTTATTGTCATTCTTTGTCAGTTTCATGCTAAGCTCAAATTGTGATTCATGTTTTGCTTAATAGTAAGTCTTCTTCATGAGCAGTAGTTAATCTCTCAGGGGTCAAATATGGCTTAAAATAAACCTTTCTAAACTTGAGCTACAAAATATTTTGTTACAGTAAATAAGAACTGAATTGATCAATTAAAAAAACCAAAGAAAAAGAAAACAAAATAAACCTGGCCAGCTTCTGCAGCCCAGGCATAACATTTTGTCTGGGGTATCGAAACCTGATAGTTAAAGGGCCAAAACCAGCAGCTCTCCGAGTGGGTTATAGTCTAGAGGCAATGTAGCTATCCTCAGTGCTGATTTATATGGTCACGCTATTTTTTCTTTCCAACTACTAAATGACTATAGAGCACTTAAAATACACTCCCTTCCTAGTGGATATATTTTGAAAGCAAGAATTTGGTTTAGCAAAAAAGTCTGAGTCTCTGACATTTTCATTTGTTCCATTTATTCTGTTTGGAAATGTTTCACAATGGAGTGGGGAAGGAAATCCACTGATCCCCAGAATAGCCTGTAATCCAGTGGGGTTATAGCTAATTTTGACCAAAAATTGTATCCTGGACAGTTTGACTTCGGCCATGTTACAGACATTCAGTTTCTCCTGAGAGAGTTGCTGCTGTCCCAGGAGAAACCACTAGTGTACAGAGTAAAATAACCTGGAAACAACCAAGGTTAAAGTACTCCTGGGAGACTGAATGTCTGTACATATTTTCTTCTGAGAGAAGTCACAGTACAGTCCTTCGGCATCCCAGGATGCTTTGCTCCCACCTGTCTCTTCCCCCTCCCAGGAGACAGTGTGCATCTGTACTCTGTTTCTCCAACCAAGCATGGGATAGAATATACCCCCTGCACAATCCCTACTTTGTGCTTCAGGGAGAGACAGACTGACACTGATTGGTCTGAATCTACCACTTGGGGCTTCCTCGTGCGCTACTGCTATCTTTCTCCAGGCAGAATAGAGACCCTGAAGGGCATGCTGAGATGTGTGCTTAGGGGCCCCTGTTAGTCCTGCAAAATCTCTGTTCTTCAAGAGCTCAGCATTCAAATTTCTGTTCATGAGTCTCTGGGTAAGTTTTTCTACCAGGAAAACAAACCTGGGAGAATTATCCCAAGTCATCTGAATGTGTGTACACATGCTTTTGACAAGTAGGTACTTTTGAAAGTAAAAATGTCTTGATTTAAATTTCCAGCCAGCTCAGCTCAGCTCCCTAATACCCTTTTTGTATCAACAGTCATCTCTTAGTACTTTTTATCACTTCTTGAATTTTTATATAATACTTTATATAATATGGCACTAGCTTCCTGAAAGTGGCAGGAGGGTTAGTTATTGTTGTTACTTAATATATTGTGTTGCAGTACTTGCAACACTTACTAACTATATACAGTAATGTACCTTTAAAATGGTTTACGGGTTTGACACTTGTTTAGCAGGTGTTTCTAATAAAAAAAAAAAAGTCCTTTGGGAGTGGTTATTAATACAAGTTTGCTGCTGACTTTTCTTAAGTCTTCACTTAACCTGTTCAAGTATTCATGAGGCCATGCATCATCGAATGTTTTGAAATCTCACCGTTTTTTACTGTACTGGGAAATGTTTGTGTATTAGGGTGTGCAGTAAAGTGCTGTATTTTCTTATATACAGCACACACCTTCCACCCCACACCTCTGCAGTCAGTCCCCCCAAATTAGGATGCATATATTTATCTGGGCAAGCTGATTTTTTTTGTCTAGAGTTGGAAGCACCCTGGTTTAATTCCTGCTTTACAGTGCAGCAACTGTAACATTACTGTTTAGTCAGCTGAGGGGACTCCTTTGTCTTAATAGCTGAGTGTTCTTCATTCTACAGATGTTAATGATTGTCTCTCCTTTTTTAATGGTCTTGATGTTCCACTAATCAAGCTAAATTCCATTAAGGCAATTTCCTGTGCTAGATGCTTCTGGCTGCTCTTTCACAGCCTCTTTAGTTCATACCCTTTAGCTATTTAGTGCAGACTCTTTTCAAAATCATAGATCTACCTACCCACGGAGACCCTGCTGGTCACCAGCAGCTAGGGGTTTGGCTTTGGTTATGTGGGAAAGGGAGGATGAGTCAGCTGAAGATTAACCTCTGTCCCTTCTCTCTGCAGCCATAATTCTAGAAAAATCTTATTTTCTTCTTTCTGTCTTTCAAAAACCAGGTGCTTGTTCTATCTGCAGGCAAGTTGTATGCAAGCAAATATGGTAGTTGAGGAATTGGTCAGTTACCTGACTGAGGATATACAACACAGGAATTACAAGCTCTGGAAGTACACATTCTTCAGTTTATTTTGTGTTTAATTAGAGCCATCTCATTAATGCATCTGTTAATGGTGTTTTAATTTTTACAGATGATGTAATGCAGACGACATACTGTGAAATTGACTTGGACAAAGCAAAGAGAGATGCATTTGTGTATGCTATTAAGAATCACTATTGGTACCAGATGTATATTGATGACTTGCCAATATGGGGTAAGTGATAAGTCCTAATAACTGACTGAAACCAAAGCAGTTAGGTTTTGTGTCCTGATAAGATTTATGGAATTGCATCTAATGACTAAGATTTCTTTGGGAAAACCATTGATCAGAATGTAGTTTATGACTACATAAAAAGATATCTTGCTAGAATACCTTTCAGTGACTTGCATTGTTTCAGTTACAGTTTACATAGAAAGAGTAAAAAAGTTGCTTTGACAATTCTTTCCTTAAATTGATATTCTGCTAATGCTCAGTTGCTTTGTGAGATATGGCCAGGCATGTTATTAGCTGTGTGTGTAACAGAGGCCACAATTTGCCTTTTGGCATAGTACAACTGGGATTTTATGTCTCAGATTCAGTAAGCTTCTTAGTTTTCTCATCACTTTGCATTATTACGTTAGGAGCTAAATATTAATTAAAAAGCCACTTAACTATATAGAAGTAAATTGAACTTTTTGAATGGACTGTGTGAAGTGTATTTACTTGTTCTCTCATCATTTTTCAAATAATTTTGCTTAACTTTCTCAACAAGCAGCAAGGTGTTGAGAACTGGGGACAAATAAAAGAGCTAGATTCATTGTCACAAAGTTTTACATGCTTTTGTCCCAAAGTCCAAGTGCAAAATGAGCATTTTTGTTCCTTAGCTTCAAAGCTGAAAGCATTGTATAACTCATCCATTGATGTTAACTACCATCTATTTCAGGACAATTACTTGATATGACTTGCCTCGTCAATGGCATTAAATAAGGGATGAATTTAACTTATTTCCTCTTTTTCCCTTTACTCTCTGGAAGACTGGTTTATACAGAGCAATTTGTTGATATTCTTAAGTAGATTTAAAACAGGGGTGGGCAAAATATGGCCCGTGGGCTGGGTCTCGCCCGCTTAGGGGTTTTGTATGGCCCATTGCAGGTCCCTTGGTCCCACCCAGCCTAGGCGCAGGGAACAGCCTGAGCCATGGCACATGCGGCCAGTCCTGCCACCCCTGGGCGTGCAGCAGGGCTGGGGTGGCACAGCGGCTGGACTCCATTTTCTGGCAGCCCCAGCAGTAACTTCCTCCGGCTGCAGCCACCAAACACAGCCCCATCTGGACATAGCTCTCCGCCTGCCCGCAGCCCCATCCCATCCACCCAGCCAAACAAGGCAGTGACATCATGGGGTTGTGGGCCAGGGCAGAGCTATGATTCATTCCGCACACACCCCTGCCCTCAGAAACGTGTCTCTGCCCCAGCCCCGTTCTGTCATTGACCCATGATCCCAGGTTTTCCATGGAGACTGGCTGAGAGCTGTGCAGGCAGGGTGCTTGACCGGGTGGGTGGAACAGGGCCACAGGTGGGCGGGGAGCTGCACTTGGGGTCAGATCCAGGATCTTGGGGTGGTGGCAGTGTGAGGCCAAGGCCCAGGGCAGAGCCATAATCTGCTCCCTGCACTCCCTTGCCCATGGAATCGGCGCCTGTCACAGGGGCATGCAAGTAGCAGATAGTGACTCTGCCCTGGGCCCAGGCCCCTTGCTGTCACTGCAGGCCCAAATAATTGCCCATCCCTAATCTAGAATATGTACTTCAGTTCGGAATCCAGAACTTTTTTCTTTCCTTATCCTTGGGGTCTGTGACTTCTCCTTTCCTCTTCATTCCCTCTTGTTTCCTAGGCCGCTGTTTATCCTAATGCAGAAAGCTGTGCAGTTCTCACTTGCCTGCAGTGTGTCTTAGTGTCAAGTTTCATGGGCAAAGTTTTACATGTGTAAATATCCGCTTTCTTATTCAGCCAGATTCTTCAAGCTTTAAAAATGAGGCTTAGCTCTACTAGTCTTGTAACTGCAGAGACAAAATAGAAGGTATTTTAATGAGGAAAACTTAGGAAAGATGTGGGTAAGAATGGTAAGAGCAGAGTGATTCTTGCACCTGTACTGATAAAAGGTACTATCTTGAGAGCACCATATGTTGTACACTTGGCAAACCTTTTAAGGCAGTCAGGCATGGATGACTTCTATTTTTACAAAAGGTTTTTTTTCAGCTGTTGATGTTAGCATCCCAGAACGTGCTATTGAGTAATGCTTCTGGACTTGGAGCACAGTTACATAGCCAGAAGTTGCTATCCCTCTGGTGCAGTCTTATTTGGCTTATCTGTTATCCAACTAAAGCTTGTTGTTGGGATTTTTTTCCTTTTTCACTTGAATACCTTTCAGAACAGAATTTTCACTCAGTGCTTGTTTATAAGGGCTGTGTTGTGAGCCTTACTTGGGAGCATTTTGTGACCGACATCAAATACTGAATTTATTGAAGGAAAATTGTTTAACGCGAGCATGTATTTGTAGCAGAGCTCAATCCTCATTATGTAAATAACAAAATCAAGGACTTCTGATGACTTGATTTAAAAAAAATTAAAATTTAATTTAAAAAGGACAAACCAAAACAAAAACATTCTTCATAGCTAAAGCATTTGAACAATTCCTGTGTGCGCCAACAAACTTTGAGCTGGGAGGAGTTTTCGAGTTGGAGATGGACCAACTAACCAGAAGTTGAAAGTGGTTGACTGATTAGAGCAAGGGTGTCAAACTCATCTAGCTCTGTGGACCAGATGAATAGTGGGAGGCAAGTCTGTGGGCTGGATCAGGCCCACAGACCCCTCCTCCCTCTTTCCC